AATGTTGTTCTCCCTTATAAATATATTAAATTTGGTCCGGGTTTGTAATCGTTGGTCACATGTCTCACCAGTGAATAATATATGTAGCTGGAAAGATCGTATCTTTTGTATTTAAATATTTTAATACATTTCTCTCACTGCTTTGAAAGATGAATCAAGGCTAACAGCTTACCCTTCAAGAATGGAGGGTCAAATGTCTCACCAGTGAATGATAGCTGTAGCTACAAAGATCATATATTTTATATTTACCTTAAATCGTAACCTTTTTTTAAGAATCATTAATTAATTGTTTTCTTCACCTCGCAAATGCTATAACGCTATACATATCTTACTTAAATCATCTTTTAATCGATCATTTCCCTTCATTATCAAAGGTATCCATGGAGAAAATAGAAGCCTCGGCTGCAGTAGAAGAGCTAAGCAATGAGATTCAAGAACTACTGTTGAACCTTCCCACAGAAAAAAACTGGGAAGGAACTTCCCTCTATCAATACCAAGGATGTTGGAATCGATCTCAATACGTTTCTGCCACGATCTCCTTTCAGAGACACTTCCAAGCAAAAGAGAGTGACATAATATTAACCAGCTTTCCAAAATCAGGCACCACTTGGCTCAAGGCCCTCGCTTTCACCATTGTCAACCGTTCTCGTTATCCTCTAGAAAATAGCCCCTTGATCACCACCCCTCCTCATCAGCTTGTTCCTTTCTTGGAGGTTGATCTTTACTTGAAAAATCAGTCTCCGAATCTTGAAGACTTTCCTAATCCAAGGATTTTGGCCACGCATGTCCCGTATGCTTCACTACCGAATTCCATTTTGAATTCTGATTGTCGCATCGTCTATGTAGCCAGAAATCCTTTGGATCAATTCATCTCCCATTGGAATTTCTTGTCTGGATCTCAACAGCAAAACATGAATCTGGTTTCGGTTGAGGAAGCTTTTGAGATGATTTGCAATGGAGTCCAAACCTATGGCCCCGTTTGGGAACATATTTTGGGGTATTGGAAGGCTAGCCAAGAGCAACCACACAAAGTACTATTCTTGAAATATGAAGAGATGAAAGAGGACATCCAATGTAATGTTAAGAATTTGGCCAATTTCTTAGGATGTCCCTTCACTGAAGATGAAGAGGCTCAAGGAGTGATAGAAGAAATATCAAAGTTTTGTAGTTTTGATAACATGAAAAATTTGGAGGTGAACAAAAATGGTATTTATAGGAGGTTTAAAAATGAAGCCTTCTTCAGGAAAGGTACAGTGGGAGATTGGAGAAATTATTTAACACCTTCAATGGCCGAACGCATGGAGAAGATACTTGAAGAAAAGTTCAGTGGCTCAGGTTTATCCTTTATGAAATCCTAGAAGCTCAAAAAAACTTTTATTTATTGGTTGCATAGCCAGCTTTCGTGTGTTTGGGTGATTTCTCTTTAATTTTATCAAATTTGAATAAATTGATGTAAGTAAACTAGTTGGTTTGACGTATTCTTGTACTTGTTTTTTTTTTTTTTTCAATAGAAATTATGTTTTTAGATGTTTTAATTGCGTTAAAAATAAAAGCATAACATTCAAACTGAAATATTTATCATTGATACTGAATAATTCATTCTAAAGGAAAATACTTACTATATATTACAAGTTTTACTTTAATAATTATTGGAAAAATTATATTAATTACAAAGTGATTTATATAGATTATTGGTCATTTTTTAGTCCAGACATTCTGATATTAATTTCATCAATGCCATATTAAATCACCATTGGATTGATATTACAATTTAAATCTAATTGTATATATTTATGATCCTGAAAATTAATATCAGAGAATTACTCCAAGTTATATTTTTAAATTATAAAAATAAGAAAGAGGAGATAAAATTAAAATTTAACGTCAAGAATTTGGCCGATTTCTTAGGATTTCCTTTCACTGAGGATGAAGAGAGGGCAAGGAGTGATAGAAGAAATATCAAAGTTTTGATACTGTGAAAAGTTTGGAGGTGAACAAGGGTGGTAAAGGCGGAGTGGGAGATTGGAAGAATTATGTTACATTACCTTCAATGTCCGAACGATTGGAGACGTTATTCCAAGAAAAGTTCAGTGGACCACAGATATTGATATGATTCAGAATATATATATATATATATAACCCAATTTTTATTGGTGAGTTGTAAAATAACCTCTTTTAAAAAGTTTTTGGCTCTATAATCCTCCATATCTATAAAGAACCAGAATGCCCTTACATCTATACACGAATAATGAACGCAGTCTTCTAAAAAGTAGTTTACTTAAAGAACCAGTTCCAAGCTCGAGATACTGACATTATTTTAACCAGTTTTCTGAAATTAGGCACCACTTGGTTAAAGGCTCTCACTTTCACCACTGTCAACCGTTGTTGTTGGGCATTACAAAATTCTCCCTTGGTCACCACTCCTCCTCATGAGCTTATACCTTTCCTTGAGCTTGATCTTTACTTGAAAAACCATTCTCCGAATCTTGAAGATCTTCCTACGCCAAGGATTTTGGCCACACATACTCCGTGTTCTTCCTTACGCACATTGATTCTGAGTTCTAATTGTCGTATTGTTTACATTTATAGAAACCCCTTGGATCAATTCGTCTCCCGTTGGAAATTGTTTGTCGATTTCGTCAACCCAACGTTTTCACATGATTAAGCTTTTGACCACGTTAGTGATGGAGTCCAAAGTTATGATCTCATGTGGGTACATATGTTGGGATACTGGATGGCCAACAGTAAGCAATCCCAAAGAATATTGTTCTTGAAATATAAAGCCCAGGTTTGTTACACTTCTGCATCATTATTTTATTATCCTATTTAGATTAAAGAATATGATATGTGTTTGTTGACTTATAGGGCTAATCTAATCTAAAAATTAATCCAATTCAAGTAAAGATTTTTTTATCTAAAAATGAAAAGAGGGTTGAATTTGTTTTTAGATTATCTAACTTTATTCAATTGAAAATAGTTTTCTTTCTCTCCATGAAAGTTTTAATCACTTTACCGAGTAGATTAAACCTAAGCGGAATGGGTTAACATGTTCATTTGTGCATTTTGTAGGGGTGTTCGGTTCCGGGTATCCTGCACTTTTTGAAGGAACCAGAACCGGAACCGACGGTTCCTTGAAATTTGGAACCAAAATCGGAACTGACGGTTCAGGTTCCTAGGTACCCAGAACTGACGGTTCCGATTTCTAGGTACCTAGAACCAGAACCGGTAACAACGGTTTCGGTTCCGATTCTGGGTACCCTATAAAATTCATGACCCCCCAAAAGTTTTTAAAATAACAAAAAAACCCTTAAAACTTACAAATACCCCCCCACCTGGCAGTTGTTAACAAAAATAAAATTACAAATTATAAATTACAATCTCCATTACTTTGTAAAGGTAGATTCTCAAAAGTCAAACCAACTTACTTTAAATGTTATGAAATATAAATATAAATGTTTTCACATGATCTTTTCTACAAAAGCTTTTATTAGCTCCCCTAATCTTTAATTTTATTTTATATTAGTCTCGGTTCCTGGTTCCTGGTTCCGATTCTGGTTCCTAACTATAGGAATCGGAACAGGAACTGCACAGTAACGGTTCCAAATTTTTGGAACCGAAACCTACCCATTGACGATTGGTTCTGGGTAGGAACCAGAACCAAACCCAAGGTACCCGTCGGTTCCAGTTCCAACCGGTTCTTTTGAAAACCCCTAGCATTTTGTGTTGGCTTTTTAATTATCAATATAAACAATGTATCCAAGACAAAATGTAAAGCACACAATACATTTTTACATGGTTTGACAACTTGTCTACATCTATGTGACTACATTCAGATAAAGCTAATCCACTATAGTAAACATTTATAGTTCAATTACAAAGCCAAAGTTAAGCATCATTGCTAAACACTCCCCGTTATATGACAATGCTTCAAACTTCACCCTTTAGTTGAACTTCGAACTACCAAGCTAGCTTTACTCCACAAGACCACCTAGTTACCCTTGAGCTCCTCTCAAGGTTCAACGCCGAAGACGCACTTAAACTTTGTTAGCTTGAAATCCCATCAAGCATCATCTATGGAATACCCACATTCCACCCGTGAACAACACAATGCAACAAGGTATTTGTAAACCTACCTAAAGCTTATGAAACCTGACTCAAAATAAAAGAAACCTCAAAGAATATGCAGAAAACTTATAGAGATATATTCGAAGATGAATATAAAGAAACTTGCGCACCAATGCAAGGGGACAGCCAGCCAACATGTTTTTTTGTGTTTAGCCATTTTGGGAAAGTTTTCACCAAACTTTCTATGGACCTCAATAAAGCAAAACGGATTTTCTGATCCACCTAATGAGCTAATTACAAGTGTACTAGGACCATTTACACGTCTCAGATAAGAATAAAATCTCAACATCAAATGGAGACAAAACATGTGTATGTAAATATCTTGCTAGGCACATGTTACCACACGAACAAGGAGAGTGGCGACACCAGAAAAACATAAAATGATTGTGCATAAACAAGGTGATGTTACGACTAAAAAATCAGTATTATCACACTGAATTCATAATTTGACAAAAATACTTATAATCTCCCCTTTTGTCAAACTTATGAACAAAGTATAATCTTTTCATAAACGCATATGTCTCAAACACAATTTCAATTAATCAACAAGAGACAAGTGATAAATACAACATAAAAACACATCTCATAAGAAGCATAATCATCGAGGCATTGAGATAAGTTAAAAACAAAAAACATCAGGTAGAAATTAAGCAAAACACAATCAATATCATCAATCAAAAAACAGTTTTGCATTAAGTTAAATCAAACTAAACCAAATCAGTTTGAAATCAATGGCTTAAATGCAAAAAGCTTAGCTGATTGGTAACACAAGTCGGCTACAGCCTAATGGCTACCACAGTAACCACACTATAGGACAATTACTTTTTCATTAATTACATGGTGAGAATTCCAACTATCCAGCAGCATTTTCTCTGTTGACCGTTACTTGTTATCAAAGCTGTAAAAGTTGGCAGGGCTCAAAGTTGTAGTTATAGATTAGGGTCTGAAAGCTATAACTTAAATGGGAAGTAAAGTAATGATAGTTGAGTAGTACCTCTAACTCATGAAGTTTAGCCTCTAGTTTCAACTGATTTTCTAGCTTCTTTTGGCTCAGCCGACCTTCCACCACCATGCAAAGTCTGCGGGTTCTTATTTGTGCCTGGATGTTGCACCATGAATGAATGTAGCTTAATGCATTTGACGTTTGCTTTTGAACAGTTTGGTCCTGAATCAAGATGTTAAATCTCCCGGTGCCCCTAATCCGGCGAATCGACTTTCTTGCCTGCAAAAATTAAACCAATTTAACCTTAAAATTTTTTTTTTTTTTGGAATATCGGTCTTTTTCGAATGCAATTTATATCATCTTTGAGATATTAATTAAATGATGTTAGAATATATTTGATTTGTGATTCAAAAATAATTTTAAGAAATTACAATTAAAAGATCTATCTTCTATCTCAATATTTCTAATATCTAAAAATGGATCTGACATAATAATAGAAATACTATAATAATGTGACTGGGTTACCCTATATGCCCGGAAAGCTTTCTGAATCCGGGTTGCAGCTTTATCGTCAACTGATTTTCTGGGTAATCCAGGATTGCTATGTGAACCTCCATTGGCATTACTGTTCGATTCACTTGAAGTCTGAGAATCTCCATTAGATTTTTCAGAAGCTGAATGCACCTGCAAATCAAATAGATGATTAAACAAATCACAGATTTATAAAAAAAAAAAGATCAGTAAGACATAAATTATTAGTAAAAATAATATTAGTATTACCTTTCCTTGTTTGTGGTTCAATCGTTTTGCGCAAACTAATAACCTAAGCCAGTCCCCTGAACCCATTCTTATTGAGCTGACAAAGAAATTTCAATTCTAATTAGATTTTGTTAAGCACTACCCTTTTGAAGCAATTGATCAAAGACACATTAGACATAAACAAACCTTGGCAAGAAACAAAGAAATGGAGGAAATGAACACACCAGAATAACTCCCCTTCAATTAGTATACTCCCCCTGAGTAACTAAACCAAATCACTTCCAAGTGATTACCAATCAATATAACAAAGGGTTAGTTCAGTTCACACAAACAAGGACTGAATTGTTCTCTGCTCATGAAAGAAAAACTACATTAGCAAGTGCAGTTCATAAACAAAACTTGGCAGAAAAAATCAGCAAACATAAAAGTGCAATTCTCTGCACAAAACACAAGGAAACAACTGCATAAGCAATTAGTTCAAAACAAAGCATAAGCAGATAATAATAAGAAATAGTTCTGCAAATCAAAGTAAAAACCGGATAATGAAAATCAGTTCAACATGTAATCAAAGCAAAAAATAAATAAATAAAGCTTCATCAGCATCTTCTTCGGCAGTGTCACCACATCAACTATCTCCCCATGTCAAGACATCAAAAACTACTCCCCTTCTTTGTTCATAATTTCTGACGCCTGGATGATCTTTTGACAGGAAGTTTCTTCTTTATTGCCAAGGTCTTTTGTTTCTTCCCATGTGTAGGTGCAATAGGTTCAGAAATAGCAACTTCTGGAGGTACATCATCAGCTTGAATATCTGAAGGGATTTGTTGTGCTGCAACTTCTTCTCGTTGATTTGCACCTTCTTGATCAGCTTCTTGAATATATGCTAAAACAGCAGCAGCTTGTGCAGCCTCTTGTTGATCAGCAACTTCTTGGGCAGCATCTTGTTGTTCCTCTTGATCTGGATCAGCAGTGGAATGATCAACAGCAGGGGATGAATTCAGGTCAAGTTTGGTCTTCTTCACCAGTTCTTCCAAAACATCCACTCTTGCATGCAAAGTGGAATGAAGGTTTGCAATTTGCTCAGACAGCTGATTGTGTTTTTCATCCATTTTTCTTTCTAGACCCCGACAAAATATCAATAATCCTAGACTGCCTTTCTCATTTTTCTCTCCTTCCAATCTGAAAATTAATCCACCAAGACCACCACCGACTTGCCAGCAACCACCGCGATCAGAACAACGCATGACCGACTGAATCTAGTTGTCCGTGGGTCGATCTAGTCGTTGATGTCCAGATTCTAGTCGAGATCTGGCCGTTGACGATGGCCAGATTTTGGTTGTCAACGATTGTCAGAGATCTGGCTATCAACAACTAGAATTGTCAGATTCTAGCCGTAGATTTGGCCATTTTCAACTAAATCCAATTAGTCTTGCACTGTTTCTGTGACTACCGACTGTCATCCGACGGTGGTAGCCGACGACCAACTGTCCTCTTGACTGGTTGGAGTGCTTTATTATTATTATTATTTTATTTTATTTTTTGTAAACATGGCTAGGATGTTTTAGTTAATTTTTAAATTTTTATTGTGAAGTTGTTTAGCTAAATTAACAAATATAGGGGATTAAAAACAATATAAATATTTTCAGATAATGCACTAAACGACTATTCTTTCTTAAAAACCTTTTTCAAAAAATGTATCAAACAACTATTCAGCATTTTATCAAACTCTGATATAATTTTTAAATATTTTACCAAACATATTTTTAAATTTAAATCCAATTCGATTTGATTCAACTCAACTTAAAATACTTTTCAGAATAACATTTTTTAAAAGTGTAACTAAAAGGCGAAGATTTGAAAGAGGATATCGAGTTTTATATCAAGAAATTGGCCCNTTAATGGAAGGTACAATTGATCTTCTAAGGTTGGTCTTAGCCCATGACCAGGAAACCCAAGAGGATGGATCTCTGAAAGAATTTCTTGATCTGATTGAAACAGATAATTTCAAAGATCAATAAAGTCTAAGAGGATGGAAATTTGGACAACTGTAAACATCCAACACGTATACGCAACGTGTATCAAATAGCGGAACAATACGTGGACATCCAGGATGTCAGATACCATTTACACCCAACACATAATATTTGTTATACCCAGTCTAACAAATATTATTACAATTAATAGCTAAATAACCTAGTTAATTAATTGGAAGGAAAATTACATAAATTCAGTTAACAGAATAATTCATACCTGGATATCAATCGTCTTGAATAAACCTTTTTCTTTATCTCGAGTGTACAAATTAAAAGTAGACAAGAGATTGAGAGAATTTTTCACAAACTGAAAGTATTATTAATTTTCACTTGAACGAAATATACACATGCTTCCTTTTTATAGAGAAGCTCCAGACTTCAATTAGAATTGAATCCTTAACAAAACAAAACTTACAAAAGTTACAAAAGTCTAAGCTAACGTACAAAGCCTTAAACAATTGTACAACAAGTCTTAAATAAGACTTTGACTTAGCAAAAGAAAAAGTAAAAGAAAAATAAATACAACCTTAATGACACTGGGGTCCACATGTCGCCCATGTGCCTTACAAACATTTTATTACAGACGACTAAAATTTTACATTTATTATAAAGTCAACATCCAATGCCTCTTTAAATTTGAATCGTTGAATCCTGTCGGCAACATCCTGGATGTCCACGTATTGTTCCGCTATTTGATACACGTTGCGTATACGTGTTGGACGTTTACGGTTGTCCAAATTTCATCCTTTTAGAATTTATTGATCTTTGAAATTATCCGTTTCAATCAGATCAAGAAATTCTTTCAGAGATCCATCCTCTTGGGTTTCCTGGTCATGGGCTAAGACCAACCTTAGAAGATCAATTGTACATTCCATCAAGGCCTGATTTGGTAGATGGGCTAATTCGAACCCTTCTAACAATGTTTTCAACTGGGCCTGATTGTGTTGAAACAGAGTGTCCTCGATTAATGTATACTTGTCTGGTATAACCACCACGATCCCATTCTGAATATGGACAGTAGCATTTACTCTCACGAGTTCTTCCAGTTTTGATTTTACCAGTAACATTTTGGCAATGTGTAACCTGGTCCAATCTTCCTCTTCTTTCTTCTGAATTTCTTCTAGTGCATAAGAACCCATTTTTACCTCACTATTTAACATAATTCGGTACCATGGTTCTCCTACAAGAAATTCTCATATCTGTACAGGCTGAACATCATAGCTCTCTTGCAATGAGGAAGTAATCATGCAAGTGAATGTGTCGACCTTTTGATTTAATACACAGAGCGTTTGTTTAACTGCGTCTGGCATATTTGGGTCCACCATTGCTTCCTGTACGTCAATTTGCATTGTATTGATCCATCCTTTAGTCAAAAGATCTCTACATAAACCTTTTCTAAAGATTTTCCATGGAACGAATAATTCCATAGCTCTATTAGGATAAATTGATAATCTTTGAACTAAATCGGTCAAGTCAGTTTTTCCCAATTTGACTATTAAATCATTCAAATTCTCGAGTTTGAGTTTTAACATGTCAAACAAATGACATTTTCTCATTACCTCAAGTTTTTGAATTCCTGCTGCATAGAGTACATCAGTTCCTTTGAACTTTTCGTCCTCATAGAACAGTTTATCAGTTTCCAGCCATGCTAACCTTCTTGCTAGCTTCTTTAAACACCTACAACTGATTAATCGTTTTTGAACCGTTTTTATTTAATATTTTAATATATTTTTATTTAATATTTTTTTTAATAAACAGGATTTTTTATTCTAATTTAATATTTTATGATAAACTTGTTTTGGTTAACTGATTCTCATATTCTCGTAAATTGGTAATCGAACTGGAAAATCGGTTTTTTTATTTCTTTAAACCGAAACCCAATTGGTTTTTCGGATAACAAAAGCCGGATCGATTCGGTTTCTGCATTTTTTTTAACACCCTTATCTCTATTATGAACATCCGATATTTTCTCTTGAAGAAGTTTGAATAAGTTTCTCATCTCTCAACAACGTTTGAATCCCTGAGCCAAGTCATTATGATCAATTAAACGAAAAATGAATAAATATATTGTCATACCTAAAAAATCCCAATGAAGCTTGAAAAATACCAGCAAATAAAGTAGCCGTAAAAGCAAGTTTTGTGTGGAGATCTCTTTCTTTAGCAAAAGAAACCTCTTCGTTTTACATGATGCCCATAACCAATGATGCTATTGAAACTGGACCAATGCCAATATGTCTTGAACTCCCAAGTACAGAATATATCAATGTGTGGCACAAAGCTTGAATCTAGGAACATCACATAAAATGATGTCACACGTTTATAATATGCATTTGTTAATAAAAGGTGTTCTTGTACTACATAGTCCAATTACCGGAGGCAGATTTGCAAGCTTAGCATAATTAATGCCTGCCAGGCCAAAATCATTAAAATCGTATTAAAAAAAATATTATATATAATGAATTATGTTGATTGAAATAGAAGGAATAATGGTCAAATTAGACCTGAGGGATGGCTAAGCTGGCAATGGTGAGTCCGGCTATAAGATCAGATCTAAAGTGCAAGATTGTAAGTAGGAGCCCACTGTAATATGAAACACATACTGATAACCCAGAGCAATTTTTCTGCGAAAAGTCCGGTTCTTGAACACGTGAGGGGATCATCGGGGAAGAAAATTTCACGAAGTCTGTGCTTGAGTTTTGAAATGTGTAGCATGAGGAGAACACACTTTATGAACCTCAAGAGGAGACGTTCATTGTTTCTGTAAGATTGTATATAATCTGAATTGTCGAAGAAGCTGCCACTGCTTGCTCCGAGCTTGTGTTCATAATTTACTGCAATATGCCAAATGTTTAGGAAGCCACAAAGTGGATAATATATATTGGTGAACGAATACAAGAAGCCATGAGAGTTATGGTAAATTTAGAGAACAAGGCGAGGTTGATGGTAGTTATAGCAGTTGAGGCAAGGAAGTGAGAAAATCTCGGCTTATTTGATTTATGAATTTTTTTTTTTTTCATTTGACTCCGTATCTAAATTCATAGTATTTCAGAATATTAAATGAATATTAAGATTCTGGTAACATAGCTAGGACTAGGGCCCCGTACTGCGTTTTATACAACGGAATCTAACTTTCCTCTAATAAATCATTTATCATTACACCCCCACTCAAGGTTTTAAAACCTGATCCGAGAGTGACCTAGTTAGGTCATCGGATCCCGTTACCGATTGAATCGGTTCAATCATCGGGTTGAACCGTGATGTCATTATGCTAATGTCAGTATGACTATAAACAAATAATAAAAAATCAATTCAACTAATGGGTCAAACCGGTTGCCGCGGTTCGTAACAAAAAATCGGTCCAATCACAGTTCAAACTGGATCATTTAATATTTTGGTTTTTTAGTCAAACCGACCCGGCTCAATCACCGTTGTTGGTTCAACCGATTGAACCACCAGTCCAGGTCGTTTTAAAACCTTGCCCACATGCCTCTTTTTCCTTTGCCAATGGGGTTCTTTTACCTTAGCTCTTCTTTACTAGTCTTTTATTTGGTTTTAGTGAATAACATCTTCATATTTCTAAAATTACCGAATTAGCCCAGTCTAGCAAAAAAAACATACAACTGTGGATGGTGAATTAAGGTAAACTCACAGGTGTTGGTTTCGTCGTCTCTGTACTGGATCGAATTATTTAGGGGTGTTTGTTTAAGCTTATAAGCTGGTCAAACTAGCTTATAAGTTGGTTAAACCTACTTATAAGCTCTAAAATTAAACTAACGTGTTTGTTATAACTTTTTTGAGCTTATAAGCAAAAAAAAAAAAAAAAAAATTTTTTTTTTTTTTTTTTTTGCTTATAAGCACTCTGCTTTAAGCTAGTTTGACCAGTATATCTACATTATCCTTGTTAATTTTAAAATTCTATAGTATACCCTTATTTAATGTAGTACCCTTGTTAGTCATTTATAATAAAATGTACTTATAGCCATATTTTACCAAACATATCAACTACTTCAACACTATAAGTATTTTAACCAAACACGTAATGCTTAAATTCAAATGCTTATAAGCTAATTTTCATAAACTCAGACAAACACCCATTTAGTATGGTATTGATATGTTTGATGTGTGCATTGTAAATCATATTTAGGCTTAAACTTTTGTCTTACTGATTCTCCATATATGTACTTAAAAAAATAACCACTACACTTACAAATTTTTTATATAAACTTTCTCATACAAACTGATATAATAAAAGATGATTTGAGAAAGTTTATTTTTAATTTAAAATCACTCAATTATGTTTTATCACATCGTTTCTATGAAAAAGTTGTAAATAGCGTTGTTCGACATTACTTTTTAATGACACGTTATTTATCTCTTTAATAAGTTGGTTTTACAAATTCTCTCTCAATTACTAGGTACAAATCACTTTGTATAAGTCTTTATATGTAAATTTGTAAGAGTAGTATTATTCTTAAAAATAATTAAATACTGCCAAACTCCAAACTAAGATGCATTATTTTCACAGAATGGCATTTTCATAACTTCTGACTTACTAAAAATTGAAGGCAAATGACACAAAAATTTCAGGACTGCTTACAGTGAGAGATAAGATGCCAGTTATTAAGTCTGTTTTAATAGCAAGGGCCAGATGAGGACCATGAAGATATAGCATGTTTGCTGCAGGCGGGTTCACTCCCTTTGATAAATAACCAATCTGTTGGCAAAAAATGGATCATATAACAAAATCAATTGATTTTTTTTTAAAGGAAAGCAACTCTTTCAAGTCTCAAAAAGCTGAAGTCCCTCTTGTTTACCAAAATTTCTCCAAACTTTTATAAGCAATTCTGTGTTGAATACGCTGGAAGTACTTACTGTGGGAACATGTTGTAATTTGGATTTGAGAAGAAAAATCAAAAGAGTGGATAGAATAACGGATGTTAAAGGAGCTGCAGCTGAAACCCAGAAGAGCCTCGGTTTCATTTTGGTCTGAAATTTTAAATCCAAAAAATGTCGTAAATCATCAAAGGATTAAATAAAAGATAAATTGGGAAATTAAGTTGAGTTGAGAAGTCAAATAACTGGACTCAAAATTTGCCTGGCTATCAGAAGAAAAATTAGGAAAATAAGGCCTATAACAATGGTTTCCCAAGTCCACTGCACATTAAAGAAGAAAAATGACCTCTCTGTTGTTCTGTCTGAGATGCATAGTTAGTATGCTTAAATTAAGTATTTATCATCTTCGTGTACTTTGTTCTGTTTATACCTCCTTTATGTTACCAAAAACAGACTCCATAACAGGAAAGATTTGCATCTCGCTAGTAAAATGAGTAATCCCAAGCAATCCTTTAAGTTGTTGGAGAGACACAATCACTGCTGATCCAGCCATAAATCCAATCAGAGTTGCCTTTGATAGAAAATCTATAATGAAACCTAACCTACAAAGGGATAACCAAAATTAATTCAAAATTTAGCCAGTAACCATTTTATTTTCTTGAAACTACACAGAAGCAGATCAAAAAGAAGCAGCTTGATCACTATACTATATGTCTGTAAAGCAGATTCAAATTTCACCATTAAGCCGGCGCTTGGAATGGTTGTAACTCAACTTTATTTGGTATAAGAATTTAAGATACCTGAAGGTTGGAAAATTTTTATACACGCCAAAATTTAATTAATTTACTTAACCATGCCATTAAAAATCCCAAACTTATTTATAATAAGACAAAGTTTCTTTTTGGTGTCTACGTGCATCCTTTATTAGGGGTGCTCAAAACTGGTTAACCGATTTTGTGAACCGAACCATTTTTTCGGTTCAAGAACTGAAACCGAACTGGTTAGTGTAGACGTAAAAATCTATCTATACGAAAGGGGGGTCTGATTCCGTGAGGTTGAGGCCACTAGCGATTCGCTGCACCTGCACACGTAGAGAAACAAACGCGTGAAGCATACGGGAAACACCGGGGTGCTGTTTGCCGTAGGCATTCCGACACTCAAGTCCGCAAGGCTGAAAGAGGCTAGTATAGTGAGGGCTAGGGAGTAGAGAGGTTACTGGAAGTCTAGTCGGAGACTGTGACTACAACGGTGATGTGAAGCTCTCAAGTAGGAGCTTCGGGTGTGAAGGTGTAATGTAATGTCTCTTGTGAGAGGGCTGGCCTCTGCTTATATAGTGATTGTCTGGTCTCCCAATCCTGGTGGGAGTAGGAGTCCTAGTGTGACTCTGATACGAACCCTAGAGGAATTAGGGCGGTGGTGAGCTGTCCTACCAATGTTCGAATAGGAAGGTGATCCCGAATAGGAAAGTAACGTTAAGTAGGAAAGTGATCTGAACATGAAGGTGACCTCGAATAGGAGATTGGTCAGGAATAAGAAAGTGATCTGCGGGGGCCATGGGCTCTGAACTCGCGTATAGGTCTAGGAAGTGATCTGGGATTGGGAGGCTCGCGCCCAGATGGTTTGGGCCGACTGTATCTCGTATCAATGGGCCGGGTCTAATCCGGATTGGATTGCATCAGGATTGGGCCTGATCTCTTCCACATTGTCAGGCCCGTTTTCCTATTTGGGCCAATGACGATTTTTGGCCCTAACAGTTAGTAAAAACTGATTAATCGGTTTTGAACCAGTTTTTATTTAATATTTAATATTTAATAGTTAATATATTTTTTAATTTAATATTTTTTTAATAAACCGGATTTTTTATTCTAATTTAATATTTTTATGATAAACTTGTTTTGGTTAACCGGTTCCTATATTCTCGTAAAATGGTAATCGAACTAGAAAATCGGTTTTTCTATTTCTTTGAACTGAAACCCAATTGGTTTTTCGGATAACCAAAAAGCCGGTTCGGTTTGGTTTCTACATTTTTTTTAACACCCTTATCCTCTATTAATGAACATCCGATATTTTCTCTCGAAGAAGTTTGAATAAGTATCTCATCTCTCAATAACGTTTGAATCCCTAAGCCAAGTCATTATGATCAATTAAACGAAAAATGAATAAATATGTTGTCATACCTAAAAAATCCCAACGACGCTTGAAAAATACCAGCAAATAAAGTAGCCCTAAAAGCAAGTTTTGTGTAGAGATCTCTTTCTTTAGCAAAAGAAACCTCTTCGTTTAACATGGTGCCCATAACCAATGATGCTATTGAAACTGGACCAATGCCAATATGTCTTGAACTCCCAAGTACAGAATATATCAATGGTGGCACAAAGCTTGAATCTAGGAACATCACATCAAATAGATATCACACGTTTATAATATATATTTGTTAATAAAAGGAGTGTTCTTGTACTTACATAGTCCAATTACCGGAGGCAGATTTGCAAGCTTAGCATAATTAATGCCCTGCCAGGCCAAAATCATTAAAATCGTATTAAAAAAAAATATATATATATATGAATTATGTTGATTGAAATAGAAAGGAATAATGGTCAAATTAGACCTGAGGGATGGCTAAGCTGGCAATGGTGAGTCCGGCTATAAGATCAGATCTAAAGAGTGCAAGATTGTAAGTAGGAGCCCATTGTAATATAGGAAACACATACTGATAACCCAGAGCAATTTTTCTGCGAAAAGTCCGGTTCTTGAACACGTAGAGGGGATCATCGGGGAAGAAAATTTCACGAAGTCTGTGCTTGAGTTTTTGAAATGTGGTAGCATGAGGAGGAAGACACACTTTATGAACCTCAAGAGGAGACGTTCTAATTGTTTCTGTAGAGATTGTGATATAATCTGAATTGTCGGAAGAAGCTGCCACTGCTTGCTCCGAGCTTGTGTTCATAATTTATCTGCAAATATGCCAAATGTTTAGGAAGCCACAAAGTGGATAATATATATTGGGTGAACGAATACGAAGAAGCCATGAGAGTTATGGTAAATTTAGAGAACAAGGCGAGGTTGATGGTAGTTATAAGCAGTTGAGGCAAAGGAAGTGAGAAAATCTCGGCTTATTATGATTTATGAATTTTTTTTTTTTTCAGTTTGACTCCGTATCTAAATTCATAGTATTTCAGAATATTAAATGAATAAATTAAGATTCTGGTAACATAGCTAGGACTAGGAGCCCCGTACTGCGTTTTATACAACGGAATCTAACTTTCCTCTAATAAATCATTTATCATTAACACCCCACATCAAGGTTTTAAAACCTGATCCGAGAAGTGACCTAGTTAGGTCATCGGATCCCGGGTTGACCGATTGAATCGGTTCAATCATCGGGTTGAACCGTGATGTCATTATGCTAATGTCAGTATGACATATAAACAAATAATAAAAAATGCAATTCAACTAATGGGTCAAACCGGTTAGACCGGCGGTTCGTAACAAAAAATCGGTCCAATCACAGTTCAAACTGGATCATTTAATATTTTGGTTTTTTAGTCAAACCGACCCGGCTCAATCACCGGTTGTTGGTTCAACCGATTGAACCGACCAGTCCAGGTCGGGTTTTAAAACCTTGCCCCACATGCCTCTTTTTCCTTTGCCAATGGGGTTCTTTTACCTTAGCTCTTCTTTACTAGTCTTTATTTTGGTTTTAGTGAATAACATCTTCATATTTCTAAAATTACCGATATTAGCCCAGTCTAGCACAAAAAAACATACAACTTGTGGATGGTGAATTAAGGTAAACTCACAGGTGTGGTTAGTCGTCTGTCTCTGTACTGGATCGAATTAATTTATTAGGGAATTGGATTATATTTAGTATGATATTGACATGTTTGATGCGCCGCATTGTAAATCATATTTAGGCTTAAACTTTTGTCCTACTGATTCTTACATATACTGTACTTAAAAAAAAATAACACTACACGTACAAATCTTTTTTATAAACCTTTTCATACAAACTAATATAACAAAAGATAATTGGATGAAAGTTTATTTTAATTTAAAATCACTTAATTATCTTTTATCACATCAATTTGTATAAAAAAGTTTGTGAATGTATTGTTGTTCGACATTACTTTTTAATTGACACGTTATTTATCTCATTTAATAAGTTGGTTTTACAAATTCATTCTCTCAATTACTAGGTGACAAATCACTTTGTATAATAGTCTTTATATGTAAAGTTTGTAAGAGTAGTATTATTCTTAAAAATAATTAAATATTACACCCAACACATAATATTTGTTATACCTAGTCTAACAAATATTATTGCAATTAATAACTAAACAACCTAGTTAATTAATTGGAAGGAAAATTACATAAATTCAGTTAACAAGATAATTCATACCTGGATATCAATCGTCTTGAATAAAATTTTTTCTTTGTCTCGAGTGTACAAATTAAAAGTAGACAAGAGATTGAGAGAATTTATCACAACTGAAAATATTATTAATTTTTTCTTGAATAAAATGTACATACACTTCTCGTTATATAGAGAAGTTCCAGACTTCAATTGAAATTGAATCCGTGAGAAAAAGCAAAAGAAACAAAACTTACAAAAGTTACAAAAGTCTAGGCTAACTTTAGACAATTGTACAACAAGCCTTTAATGACTTTGACTAAGCAAAAGAAAAGCAAATACAAACTTTTAGCTAAAACTTAACGATAATGACACTAGGGTCCACATGTCTCCCATGTGTCTTACAGTCAATTTATTACAGACGACTAAAATTTTACATTATTTATAAAGTAAACATCCAATGCCTTTTTAAATCTGGATCGTTGAATTCCATCAACAACATCCTGGATGTCCACGTGTTATTTCCGTTGTTTGATACATGTCGCGTATACGTGTTGGACGTTTACGGTTGTCCAAATTTCCATCCTCTTAGAATTTACTGATCTTTGAAATTATCCGTTTCAATCAGATCAAGAAATTCTTTCAGAGATTCATCTTCTTGGGCTTCCTAGTCATGGGCTAAGACCATCCTTAGAAGATCAATTGTACCTTCCATCAAGGCCTGATTTGGTAGATGGGCTAAATCGAACCCTTCTAGCAATGTTTTCAACTAGGCCTGATTGTGTTGAAAAAGAGTATCCTGGATCAATGCATACCTGTCTGGTATAACTACCACAATTCCATTCTGAATATAGACAGTAGCATTTACTCTCACGAGCTCTTCCAGTTTAGATTTTACCAGTAACATTTTAGCAATGTGTAACCTGGTCCAATCTTCCTCTTCTTTCTTCTGAATTTCTTCTAGTGCATAAGAACCCATTTTTACCTCATTATTTAACATAATTCGGTACCATGGTTCTCCTACAAGAAATTCCCATATATGTACAAGCTGAACATCATAGTTCTCTTGCAATGAGGAAGTAATCATGTAAGTGAATGTGTCGACCTTCTGATTTAATACACAGAGCATCTGCTTAACCGCATCTGGCATATTCGGGTCCACCATTGCTTCCTGTACGTCAATTTGCATTGTATCGATCCATCCTTTAGTCAAAAGATCTCTACAGAAACCTTTTCTAAAGATTTTCCATGGAACGAACAATTCCATAGCTCCATTAGGATAAACAGATAATCCTTGAACTAAATCCGTCAAATCAGTTTTTCCCAATTTTACTATTAAATCATTCAAATTCTCGAGTTTGAGCTTTAACATGTCAAACAAATGACATTTCCTCATTACCTCAAGTTTTTGAATTCCTGCTGCATAGAGTACGTTAGTTCCTTTGAACTCTTCGTCCTCATAGAACAGTTTATCAGTTTCTAGCAAGGCTAACCTTTTTGCTAGCTTCTCTAAACACCTCTGTAGCTGTACTTCCCCTTGTCCTGTCGCCATTGCGATCCTAATTTGGGTTTCCAAATTCTCCCAGAGTGTTTGACTAGCTGAAGTTAATCTTAGGCCTTCTGGAAAACTAAACCTCTCACAAATATCTACATCAATTAACCGCTTCTTTTGTGGAGTCACCACGCTTACAGCGCCTGACGATGATTCCTCATAATGTTTTGTCTTTGGCAGTGGACAATTAGCCCGTTCATGTCCTTCCTGTTTACAAGACCAGCAAACTATTGCTTTCTTCTGAGTTTTTTCCTTCTTAAGAGTAACCCTCTTTTCAAAAGTATTTTCCTTCGTAAAAGTTTCACCCTTCAATCGTTGAAATCTTGGGTTCCTTCTGTTCGAAGTATCAGAATCATAGTCATGATTCTTTCCTTCAACCTACTTTACCACAGTAACCTGCTTAGAAGAAGAAGCCACCTGCTTATCCGCAGTTTTCTCCTTTTTAGCAGTAACCTTTGAAGTCGAAGTAACTTTCAAAGGGCAATTCCTTCTCAAGTGTCCTCGTTGTTTACACTTGGAGCATGAGAAGTGATTTCCAGTTTCCTTCTTATTCGTCATTTTCCTGCAAATCTTCAGAGCAGTGTCTGGACAAAAAGTCAGCAACAAAATTAGATTTACCAGAAATATATTCAAACTTGATTTTATAATCTGCAAACCAAATTTGCCATCTAATTAATCTAGATTTCTTATCCTTTAAAGACAATTTTATAAAAGTTTTTAAATATTTAGAATCTGTCCTTAAAGTAAATTCCTGACTGATTACGAATAATCAAAATCGGTCAATACATTCTTTCGCTGCTAAAACTTCCTTTTCATGAACAGGATAGTTTATTTCAGCAGGAGAGAATTTTCCTGACGCATATCGAACAATCCGTTCAATATTATCAGTACCCTTAGCCTTAAGCACTCCTCCCCAATGCAAGTGAGATGCATCACTTTCGATAATGAGCTTATCCTCATTATCTGGGAGTTTCAGTGGTTTTAACTGCTTTGTCAAGGCTTTGGTCCACTTAACACAATTAGTGTTTTAAAGTGTCCAAATCCAAGGCACTTTGTCACTAACCTTAAGCGTTAAGCCAGCGAGATTGGGCACATACTCACACATGTAATTGGCTAATCCAAGAAATTGCTGTAACATATGCTTATCTTCCATTACATCTGGAAAATCCAGCAACTTCTTCGAGATATGTTCTTGGAGTTGGATACCTTCTTCACCTATCTCTATGCCTAAGAACTTCACCTTGTTCTTAAACCATTCTATCTTTCGTTCAGATAGAATCATTCCATTATCAAGGAACCTTTTGCTTACCAGTCTAAGATGATTTACATGTTCTTCCTTGGTTTTACTAAAAACCAAAACATCATCAACATAGACTATACAAAAGTTGGATAAGTCCCCAAAAACTTGATCCATTTTCCTCTAGAATATTGATGGTGCTTGCTTAAGTCCAAAAGGTAAAACCATCCATTCAAACAATCCTTTCGGACAGGTGAAAGCTATCAAAGGAATGCTTGACTCTGCCATCCTGATCTGCCAAAATCCTAACTTTAGATCAAATTTGGAGAAGATTTTTCCAAATCTAGCTTTATTCAAACAAGCCGATTTGTTTGGTATCTTATAAGCATCGTCAATGGTTTTCTCATTCAGCTGCCTATAATCGATAACCATTCGCGCTTTTCCTCTTAATTGCTCAGCTCTATTCATGACCATGAATGCTGGCGAAGAGTGTGGACTTTTACTAGCGCGTATCAATTGCTTTTCCAGCAATTTCGGTATTTGCTTACTGAATTCCTCCTCTGCATCGGGAGTATAAGGAAAAGATTTGGTCACAATCTTATCATCTTTCCTTTTTAATTCAAGTGAAGCATAAACACCGTTCCTTTCCCATAACTTTAATGGTTGATCATCAAAGCATGGTGAAAGTTCTCTTTAAAGGATTTTACAAGTTTCTCAATCCTTAAAGAGTTCTTTTAGCTCTTGTTTTCAACCTTCAAGATTTTTTCCTTATGTATGAATTTATCCGTGCTCTCAAGGCATGCACTA